ATGAAGCACTATGGTGCAATGGACTCGCCTGCTCAGCCCTGCTGGAATTCACTTGAGTGATATGTATTACTTGTACTGTGATATTTTAAGCAATTTGAAAAAAATTATTATGGACTGCATAGTTATAATGATAATTAAAATAAGCTATGGGTGTGGTCAACAACTAACTAAATCATGTCACATGGGTAGGAGAAAGAAAAAAAGCTGAAATTTATTTTAGCATCTGAAGCTCTATTCCAAGAAAGAGTTGACACAGAAAATTTTTCTAGATATTTAAAAGAGACTGAGAGAGCTTGGTTGCTCCTGCTTTCCCCAGTGCCGCCTGAAAAATTCTCGAAGAGGCTAAATCACAAACTTTGAGCAACTGTAACTCACAAACAACGAAGTTAGGACAAAATCGTTCTTTTTGTTTTTCGTTAGATGGGATTTTCTACCTCTGAAGCAAATCTCGGCCCTGTAGAGTGAAACACGAACTCTCACCTGGAGAGAGGTCCCCTGGTTTAGCAGTTCACAGCTTTTGGTGCCACGGGATGCTACAAGAGCATTACTAGATGAAAGAAAGCAACTTTATCTGCTGCTAGAAGAAGAAATAGAGCTCTAGACTGCTCAAACAAAAAGATAATTTTTTTACAAATCAATTAAACTGTGTGGACAGAATGACAACCCAACTGCTTAGTACCCGCCTACGCGAGTCCAATTACAGTGACATACATGTTTGAATAAGTCAATTAGAATACACCTATGCCATTTTACAGTAATTTGGATTATGCATACAGTTTTGATTTTTTGTTTTTTTAACGACCTGGGGGCGTAGCCCCCAGGTCGTTCCTATAATCATAGATATTAGAGTAAATGAAAGGGATAGGAAACTTCCGTTGCGTGGGCGGATTATTTCATTAAGATTATTAGGTTGCCTAGCAACATAGGCAAGTTACCCTTCCCGGGCCTTTTCCTTCACTGTTCGGCGTCCTATTTCAACTCATAACTCTAAAGTGACTTGTGATCGTCCTCTGCAATGATAATTAAAGGCATTACAGATACCTCCCTTACAGTCTGTCTAATTTTTGAAGTAAAGTAATATTGATAACTATGGGTAAAGTTTGATTTAGTGACCTGATACCTTCAATATTGTGGTTTTGTACCCTTTTTTAGAATACAAAAGAAGTAATACCAGAATTAACTATTACCAACTATTTTATACATTATTATGGAGGGCACGCAACATAAATGACTCCGATGACAGATTTGGTGACTGATTTATAATCAATTCAAAGTTTTTGCAAAGACCTTCGTTTTGTACCTTTTTCTTTACAGCTCAATGATTGGCACATTTAAATGTGATATGAAAGCAAAGCTTGATGTACACTTGAGGGCACGCACATACTTAAATGTATGTGACATAAACACAATTAAGAAAAACCATTATGAAGTTGCACTATTTCATAATGTTTGATAATTTTCTTAATAAATCATATTGTAAAATTGAAAAAATTCCTATAAATAGAGAAATTACCATGGTATGGGTAACTAGCATTTGCTTCCGTGAACGGAAGTTTCCTATCCCTTTCATTTACTCTAATATCTATGCTATAATTGATTTCACCCACATGTGATGTTTGTATACCATATAGCTGGAAAGCTTCGTGGCCAAAAACTTTCATGGTTTTCGTGGTTTGGAATGACACCACGAAATTAAAACGACAAAATATTTGCAGGTTAATGAGAGGCGTGGAAGCTTCACTGATGATCTATGATAATAAAAACCGCGAATAGACTGGGAGCCACCAAACCACGAAAGTTTTTTGCCATTAAACTATCTGGCTATATGGTATATATTATTTGTATGTCCACACTTACATTTCTTTTATACATGTTGTATTGGGGAAATAACAA